CTGGACGTGTTGGTTTTCAGTATTTCCGTGTTCTGTCTTGTGGCTGTTGTATTTCAGTAGAAGTTGTGAGTTTAGTCCAAAGTCCTCTCTCTAGTTTTTTGCTCCTCCCAGTATCAGAGGAACAGTGTTACTTCCTGTTTGACGATTCATAAAAGAGGCTGACATTTCTCAGAACTACTCTACTCTTTACTACAAACTAGATTTAAATTTCATTTAGCGTTGAAACCACAGCCCCATCTCTCAGTTCTTTCTATAAATATTAGGATTGCTTGTTTTGTTTTTAGCTGGAACATTACATTCCTGTGTTGTCACAGAGTGAGTTGTGCAATGCAGAACTGAAAACAAACACACCCTTCATGCTGACGCCAGCAGGATGGGACAGAGAGTGAATGTAATTTAATACATGGAGTTGTTTTAACTGTTCAGTTAATCAGCTTTGTTGCAGCTGTCTGGTTTCAGTTGGTTTGAAAGTGACTCCACAGTTCATAAGCGGTTTACCCACAACACCAGCCACTGCTGTAATAAAGATGATGCAAAGGATTCAAGATTTAAAGACAAAGAGGAAGGAGAAAAAGAAACTGATTCAGAATCAGCCATGAGTCAGGTGACAGAGAAACAAAGACTCAGCGAGGCAGAAAATAAACTGTTCAGGTCTAACTTTGATTTTTTCAGACATAATCTAAATCAAACTAAATTCAAAACTAAAGATTGGAACCTGCTTTAAAATAACTCAGATGTTTTATCACAAGGATCAACTCTGTAACAACTATATTGATTTATTGTCTACACTAATAACTAAAGATCCAGGGTTGGGACAGACAACAAATGCAGCTCCAGAACGACACAAATGTGATTTTCTTATTTTCATTTGCTCTTTTTTGATTTTTGTTTTTACGATTAAGTAATGCTTTGTGATGCTGAAGTTTTGTAGGTGTTTCAAATAGTGACCATGCACATGTTGAACTATGGTTAAAATCTTCACCTGTTTATCAGGACTTGTCAGAGAGGTGTGAAAGGGAAAGAGCTTTCAACAACTCGTGGTACAAAGGGCATCCATGGCTGAAATATTCAGCTGTTTAATTATTTATCTTCTTCTCTTTATAATACCGTAAAACACTTATTCCAATAGAAATGTGGAGGAGAAACTGAGAGTAAGTTTATTCCAGTAATTTAAAGTTTACATTCTGAGCATGTATCTGGTTTTCTTATACCGAGTGATTTACAATGAAAGCAAAAGGGGTTGCCAAAGAGGACCAATAAATCTTTTTAATGTTACTTTTATTAAGCAACACAAAAAAAGCAACCTTTAAAAAACAAGAAAGGGAACAACAAATGAGGCAACAGAAGCAAGACAAAAGAATGACACTATCAAAAGAAAATATTAAAATATTAAAATAAAGAGAAAATCTAAATAAAAAAGAGATTTTGTCATATCAGATCCTGAACCACCAAAATAAAGTGTCTCTTACTCTGTCTCATACAGGATCATCTGTATGTTGGAAATATTTCATCAAGAAATTATAATATTATATTTTTTTATTCAGAGCGACTTACAATGAAAATAAAAACTGAGACAACTTCAGTTTCTAAATCACCAGCATCACAAAAAAAATCTCAAAACAAAATGAAATAAAATGACTGAGAGCAGAATTAAAATGATTCTACTTTTACAGGCAGGATGTTTTTCCTGCTCATCATCATTGTGATACAAATACACTGTAATGACATTAGATAATTTAGATTCAGTTAGACAGGTAAACTGTAAATGTCATCACTGTTGTCACTGTCATCGTAATCATCATCATAATCACTATGATAGGTCAAAATTGCAATCACTATCATCATCATCATCATCATCATCAAAATCTAGCATTGGTAAAATCTTAATTGGGAATTCATCTCTAATGCTTATGTATGGAAATAGCTTTTCAGTGAAGGTGTGTGTGAAGGTGTAAATGTGTTCATAAGTATCATGATCAGAGAATGACAATTTTCCTGTGTAACAGTCAAGCTGTACTCTGATCTTCTGAAGCTTCTCCTTCACTGAGAGAACAACTGGTTGTGCTGATTGAGAGAAGGCTTTATATTTACCATTAGACAACCCTATTCTCCATATTCCAGACTGGACGTTTCCTTTCCTCTTCACAGACTCTGTGGCCACTCCCAAAAACCAGAATTTATTGTCTCCAACGTCAACATCCCAGCTGTGAGTCCCTGAGTTAAAACCCTCAGAGCTCAGGACAATGTGAAAGTTATCACATCTCTCTGGATTGTCAGGAAGCTTCTGTTTCTCTCCTCGTCTCACACTGGTCAGATCCTCAGACAGGATGAGGTCTGGATGAGCAGTGTTTGGATCCAGAACCACAGGACTGTAGGAGACCATCTTCTTCATCTTGTCCCAGATGTTGTAGGTCATGTTGCCCAGATGTTTGGCCTGGTCTATCAGAGCTCCTGAGTCCAGCTGTGGATCATCCAGCAGGGGGCGCTGCTGGACTCTTCCCACTGTAACCTTGTAGTTCCTCAGGAATGAGACGTCTTCAGCTCTCAGCTCGTCCTCTGTGGCTCTGACTGTGTGTGACAGAGCTGCTATCTCTCTGCTCAGAGCCTCCATCTTCTCCTTCATCATCTGACTCTTCTGCTCCTCTTCCTCCCTCAGAGCAGTGATCCTGGCCTCCTCTTCCTCCTCTAGAAACTGGTGAAGCTTCTTAAACTGCTCCTTAATCTGCCTCTCTGTGTGTTGGGCCTGGACCTTAATGTGTTCTGCTGTTTGATCAAAGTTTCCTTTAACTTGTTCAAACAGCTTCAGTTTCTCTTGTAAAGGCTTCAGGGATTCCTGGAGCTTCTCTTTGCGTTCCTGTGCAGCTTCATCAATGGGATTGAATCTGTGATTACTGTGTGCTTTTGAATGCAGACAGACGAGACAAACTGGCTGCTGATGGTCCAGACAGAAGAGTTTGAGTTTCTCAGAGTGCAGACTGCAGAGAGACTCAGACCCTGCTGAAGCTCTCTGATCTCTCTGCAGTAAGAAAGTCTCACACAGGTTCTTTAAAGCCAAGTTACGAGGTGGATCACACTGTGGAGATATTTTCTTACAAACTGGACACTCCTGTATTGGTTTCTCTCTCCACCAGCTCTGCAGACAGTCTTTACAGAAGCTGTGGCTGCACGACAGGACGACAGGATTTTTGAAAATATCCTGGCAGACTGGACAGGAGAGATCGTCCTCTGACTGGGCAGACATTGTCCTTCCAAGTGAAGATGAAAACACAGCAGGCAAACTTGAAGAAAGTCTTGAGTGGTTTCCTACCTCTGTTGGAAATGTGTCTTGGAGTTATATGGTCTGTTCGCAGATCAATAGCAGCTGGACGTGTTGGTTTTCCAGTATTTCAGTATTCTGTCTTGTAGCTGTCGTCTGTCAGTCGAGGCGAGTTTTGTCTTAAGATGAATCGTAGCCTCTCTTTAGTCTAACTCTCCTCCCAGTATTAGATGAAGAATGTGACTTCCTGTATGGCAGGTTCTACAAGAGGTTAACCTCTGTCATACCATTTCCTGGAAATATTCTACCTTTCACTTTGAAACACCAGTTTCATTGTAATGATTAACACTGAAACTTTCTCCATCTATGTTCATTCTACTACCTAGAATGTAAGTCACTACAGAGCACATTCCCCCGCCAAGGCGAAATATTGACCAAAGTGTTGAAAAATACCCTGTGTCCCAATGTTAAGGAAAGTGAAAGTAAATCCTGGATCCACCACTTTAATGGAATCTGCTCCGAAATTGAATGAGTTCTTCCGTGGCCCACACCCCACCCCCCCAAGTTTGGTCCAAATCTGTTCAGTCCTTTTTCCGTAATCCTGCTGACAAATAAACCAACAGGTGAAAACATTACCTCCTTGCACGTCACAGGAACATTGCATTCCCATGTCATGTCAGCTCAATTAAATCCTGTTAACCCTATCAATCCTCCACCCACTTGTTCAATGCAGAACTGAACACAAACACACTCTTCATGCTGACGCCAGCAGGATGGGACAGACAGTGAATGTAATTTAATACATGGAGTTGTTTTAACTGTTTTAACTTTGTTTTTACGATTAAGTAATGCTTTGTGATGCTGAAGTTTTGTAGGTGTTTCAATTAGTGACCCTGCACATGTTGAACTATGGTTAAAATCTTCACCTGTTTATCAGGACTTGTCAGAGAGGTGTGAAAGGGAAAGAGCTTTCAACAGCTCGTGGTACAAAGAGCATCCATGGCTGAAATATTCAGATGTTTAATTATTTATCTTCTTCTCTTTATAATACCGTAAAACACTTATTCCAATAGAAATGTGGAGGAGAAACTGAGAGTAAGTTTATTCCAGTAATTTAAAATTTACATTTTGAGCATGTATCTGATTTTCTTGATTTATAATGAAAGCAACAGTAGTGACAGATTCATTTACTAAATCACCAACTTTACATCATTTCTACCCCCAAAATGATCATTAATGGCTGTTTATAGACATTTAGACCAACTGGAGGGGGCGCCAAAGAGGAGGAAGAAATCCTTTCAAAAATACACAAGCAACCTACAGTATATAACAAGGATCAATAAAGAAACAACAGGAGTGAGGCTAAAAAATCAGGACTATCAAGAGTAAATATTAAAATATTAAAATAAAGAGCAAATAAAAATATAAGATATTTTGTCATATCAGTTCCTGAATCACCAAAATAAAGTGTCTCTTACTCTGTCTCATACAGGATCATCTGTATGTTGGAAATGTTTTCATATTTCCTCAAGACATTAATCTGCTAACGTGCATCATCAGTAATTTACAATTTTACATTTAGATTTTCTTGTTCAGAGAAATTTACAACAAGAATAAAAACTGAGACAACTTCAGTTCCTAAATCACCAGCATCACAAAAAATTTCAAAACAAAATAAGATAAAATGACTGAGATCAGAATTAAAATGATTCTACTTTTACAGACAGGATCATCGTCAGAGTTGTTTCATGTTCATCTCACGTTTTTCCTGCTCTCGGTTTATTTCACTGCTGCTACTAGAGTAATCATTGTGATACAGATACACTGAAATGACATTAGATAAAGTCAGATTCAGTTAGATTATTGTTATTTTCTTCTATAACCCGATAGGACGAAATCAGGTGGTAGCATTTGAAACAATTTGTCGTCTTCATCGCAACTGTCATCATTGTCGTCCTCATCATTGTCGCTGTCATTGTCGCTGTCATTGTCGCTGTCATTGTCGCTGTCATTGTCGCTGTCATCATCCTCATCCTCCACTGGTAAAATCTGAATGGGGAATTCATCTCCATTGACAATGAGTGGAAACAACTTCTTTGCACAAATGCATTTGAAGGTGTAAATGTGCTCATCAGCATCGAGATCAGAGAAAGACAGTTTTCTCCCATCACAGTCAAACTCAACTCTGATCTTCTGAAGTTTCTCCTTCACTGAGAGAACGACTGGTTGTGCTGATGGGGAGAAGGCTTCATATTTACCATTAGACAACCCTATTCTCCATATTTCAGACCTCTTCACAGACTCTGTAGCCACTCCCAAAAACCAAAATTTATTGTCTCCAACATCAACGTCCCAGCTGTGAGTCCCTGAGTCAAAACCCTCAGAGCTCAGGACAATGAGGGAGTTATCAAACCTCTCTGGATTGTCAGGAAGCTTCTGTCTCTGTCCACGTCTCACACTGGTCAGATCCTCAGACAGGATGAATTCTGGATGAGCAGTGTTTGGGTCCAGAATCACAGGACTGTAGGAGACCATGTCCTTCATCTTTTCCCAGATGTTGAAGGTCAGGTTGCCCAGATGTTCAGCCACATCAATCAGAGCTCCTGAGTGCAGCTGTGGATCATCCAGCAGGGGGCGCTGCTGGACTCTTTCCACTGTAACCTTGTAGTTCCTCAGGAATGAGACGTCTTCAGCTCTCAGCTCGTCCTCTGTGGCTCTGACTGTGTGTGACAGAGCTGCTATCTCTCTGCTCAGAGCCTCCATCTTCTCCTTCATCATCTGACTCTTCTGCTCCTCTTCCTCCCTCAGAGCAGTGATCCTGGCCTCCTCTTCCTCCTCTAGAAACTGGTGAAGCTTCTTAAACTGCTCCTTAATCTGCCTCTCTGTGTGTTGGGCCTGGACCTTAATGTGTTCTGCTGTTTGATCAAACTCCTCTTTAACTTGTTTACAACACTTTAACTTCTTCTTTAAGGGCTCCAGAGTTTCCTGAAGTTCCTTCTTGTGTTGTCGAGCAGCTTCATCGATGGGTCTGAATCTGTGGTTGGTGTGTTTTTCTGAATCTCTGCAGACGACACACACTGGCTGCTGATGGTCCAGACAGAAGAGTTTGAGTTTCTCAGAGTGCAGACTGCAGAGAGGCTCAGACCCTGCTGAAGCTCTCTGATCTCTCTGCAGTAAGAAAGTCTCACACAGGTTCTTTAAAGCCAAGTTACGAGGTGGATCACTCTTTGATGATCTCCTCTTACAAACTGGACACTCCTGCAAAGGTTTCTCTCTCCACCATCTCTGCAGACAGTCTTTACAGAAGCTGTGGCTGCACGACAGGACGACAGGATTTTTGAAAATATCCTGGCAGACTGGACAGGAGAGATCGTCCTCTGACTGGGCAGACATTGTCCTTCCAAGTGAAGATTAAAACACAGCAGGCAAACTTGAAGAAAGTCCGGTGTGGTTTCCTACCTCTGTTGGAAATGTGTCTTGGAGTTGAATGGTCTGTTTGCAGATCAGTAGCAGCTGGACGTGTTGGTTTTCAGTATTTCAGTATTCTGTCTTGTGGCTGTTGTATTTAAGTAGAAGTTGTGAGTTTAGTCTTAACCTCTCTCTCTAGTCTGTTTCTCCTCCCAGTATCAGAGGAACAGTGTTACTTCCTGTTCAATTTATAAAAGGGGCTGACATTTCTCAGAACTACTCTACTCTTTACTGCAAACTGAATTTAAGTTTCATTTAGAGTTGAAATCACAGCCCCATCTCTCAGTTCCTTCTAGAAATTATAGGATTGCTTGTTTCGTTATTCGCTGCACATTACATTCCCATGTCATGTCAGCACCATTTTACCATATAAACCCTATCAACCAACAACTCACTTGTGGAACTTAACAAAAAAGACAGCTGACGCCAGCAGGCTTACAATTTATTACATGCCATTGTTTAACTGTTCAGTTAATCAGCTTTGTTGTATCTTTAAGATTTAAGTTGGTATGAAAGTGACTCCACAGTTCACAACCTTATTTCCTACAACACCACCCGCTGCTGTAATTAACACTGTGTACGTAGTACTACTTTGGGTACTGTGATATTTTTTTAAATGGAAGGTTTTTATATTTCCAAAGAGTGACTGAAGGGATGAGGAGAGCGGACACAGAGGAGAGGTAGAAACTCAAGATGAAACAGAAAGATGGAGAAAGTGAAGATTATGCAAAGGATTCAAGATTTAAAGACAAAGAGGAAGGAGAAAAAGAAACTGATTCAGAATCAGCCATGAGTCAGGTGACAGAGAAACAAAGACTCAGCGAGGCAGAAAATAAACTGTTCAGGTCTAACTTTGATTTTTTCAGACATAATCTAAATCAAACTAAATTCAAAACTAAAGATTGGAACCTGCTTTAAAATAACTCAGATGTTTTATCACAAGGATCAACTCTGTAACAACTATATTGATTTATTGTCTACACTAATAACTAAAGATCCAGGGTTGGGACAGACAACAAATGCAGCTCCAGAACGACACATTTGTGATTTTCTTTTGCTCTTTTTTGATTTTTATTTTTACGATTAAGTAATGCTTTGTGATGCTGAAGTTTTGTAGGTGTTTCAATTAGTGACCATGCACATGTTGAACTATGGTTAAAATCTTCACCTGTTTATCAGGACTTGTCAGAGAGGTGTGAAAGGGAAAGAGCTTTCAACAGCTCGTGGTACAAAGAGCATCCATGGCTGAAATATTCAGATGTTTAATTATTTATCTTCTTCTCTTTATAATACCGTAAAACACTTATTCCAATAGAAATGTGGAGGAGAAACTGAGAGTAAGTTTATTCCAGTAATTTAAAATTTACATTTTGAGCATGTATCTGATTTTCTTGATTTACAATGAAAGCAACAGTAGTGACAGATTCAGTTACTAAATCACCAACTTTACATCATTTCTACCCCCAAAATGATCTTTAATGGCTGTTTATAGACATTTAGACCAACTGGAGGGGGCGCCAAAGAGGAGGAAGAAATCCTTTCAAAAATACACAAGCAACCTACAGTATATAACAAGGATCAATAAAGAAACAACAGGAGTGAGGCTAAAAAATCAGGACTATCAAGAGTAAATATTAAAATATTAAAATAAAGAGCAAATAAAAATATAAGATATTTTGTCATATCAGTTCCTGAATCACCAAAATAAAGTGTCTCTTACTCTGTCTCATACAGGATCATCTGTATGTTGGAAATGTTTTCATATTTCCTCAAGACATTAATCTGCTAACGTGCATCATCAGTAATTTACAATTTTACATTTAGATTTTCTTATTCAGAGAAATTTACAACAAGAATAAAAACTTCAGTTTCTAAATCACCAGCATCATAAAAAATTTCAAAACAAAATAAGACAAAATGACTGAGATCAGAATTAAAATGATTCTACTTTTACAGACAGGATCATCGTCAGAGTTGTTTCATGTTCATCTCACGTTTTTCCTGCTCTCGGTTTATTTCACTGCTGCTACTAGAGTAATCATTGTGATACAGATACACTGAAATGACATTAGATAAAGTCAGATTCAGTTAGATTAACTTTATTTATATCCACAAGCGTATGGGTAGCACTCATCATCGCCGTCATTGTCGCTGTCATCCTCCTCTGGTAAAATCTGAATGGGGAATTCATCTCTATTGCCAATGAATGGAAACAACTTCTTCTCACCACTGCAGTTGAAGGTGTAAATGTGCTCATCAGTATTGAGATCAGAGAAAGACAAGTCTCTGAAGAAACAGTCAAGCTCAACTCTGATCTGCTGAAGCTTCTCCGTCACTGACAGAAAAACTGGTCGGCCTGATGGGGAGAAGGCTTTATATTTACCATTAGACAACCCTATTCTCCATATTCCAGACCGTATTTTTCCTTTCCTCTTCACAGACTCTGTAGCCACTCCCAAAAACCAGAATTTACTGTCTCCAACGTCAACATCCCAGCTGTGAGTCCCTGAGTCAAAACCCTCAGAGCCCAGGATGGAAATGAAGTTATCAAACCTCTCTGGATTGTCAGGAAGCTGCTGTTTCTCTCCACGTCTCACACTGGTCAGATCTTCAGACAGGATGAGGTCTGGATGAGCAGTGTTTGGGTCCAGAACCACAGGACTGTTGGAGACCATCTTCTTCATCTTGTTCCAGATGTTGAAGGTCAGGTTGCCCAGATGTTTGGCCTGGTCTATCAGAGCTCCTGAGTCCAGCTGTGGATCATCCAGCAGGGGGCGCTGCTGGTCTCTTCCCACTGTAACCTTGTAGTTCTTCAGGAATGAGACGTCTTCAGCTCTCAGCTCGTCCTCTGTGGCTCTGACTGTGTGTGACAGAGCTGCTATCTCTCTGCTCAGAGCCTCCATCTTCTCCTTCATCATCCGACTCTTCTGCTCCTCTTCCTCCCTCAGAGCAGTGATCCTGGCCTCCTCTTCCTCCTCTAGAAACTGGTGAAGCTTCTTAAACTGCTCCTTAATCTGCCTCTCTGTGTGTTGGGCCTGGACCTTAATGTGTTCTGCTGTTTGATCATAGTTTCCTTTAACTTGTTCAAACAGCTTCAGTTTCTCTTGTAAAGGCTTCAGGGATTTCTGGAGCTCCTTTTTGCGTTCCTGTGCAGCTTCATCAATGGGACAGAATTGGTGATTACTGTGTGCTTTTGAATGCAGACACACGACACACACTGGCTGCTGATGGTCCAGACAGAAGAGTTTGAGTTTCTCAGAGTGCAGACTGCAGAGAGACTCAGACCCTGCTGAAGCTCTCTGATCTCTCTGCAGTAAGAAAGTCTCACACAGGTTCTTTAAAGCCAAGTTACGAGGTGGATCACTCTTTGATGATCTTCTCTTACAAACTGGACACTCCTGTATTGGCCTTTCTCTCCACCAGCTCTGCAGACAGTCTTTACAGAAGCTGTGGCTGCACGACAGGACGACAGGATTTTTGAAAATATCCTGGCAGACTGGACAGGAGAGATCGTCCTCTGACTGGGCAGACATTGTCCTTCCAAGTGAAGATGAAAACACAGCAGGCAAACTTGAAGAAAGTCCGGTGTGGTTTCCTACCTCTGTTTGAAATGTCTCCTGAAGTTATATGGTCTGTTCGAAGATCAATAGCTGGTGGACGTGTTGGTTTTCAGTATTTCCGTGTTCTGTCTTGTGGCTGTTGTATTTCAGTAGAAGTTGTGAGCTTAGTCCAAAGTCCTCTCTCTAGTTTATTACACCTGCCAGTATCAGAGGAACAGTGTTGCTTCCTGTTTGACGATTCATAATAGAGGATGACATTTAGCATTGAAGGAAGGGCACCATCTCTCAGTTCCTTCTACAAATTATAGGATTGCTGGTTTAGGTGAAACATTAAATTCCCATGTCATGTTAGCACCATATCGCGTGTTTATTATTTATTTATTTATTTATTATTGTTGCCATGAGAACCAAGGTCCAGTACGCCTGCGCCATAGAGACGGTATTTCAGGAGACAGTCCATTGGGTTGTATTAGAGGGTTGAAAAACAATGACGTATATGGTCTTTCAGGTTGGACACCTCTCCCTCTTATAGGCTATTGTATGTCTGACACTCAGGCACAGAGTGCAAATTATACAATGGCAGGCGGGGGGGGGCAATTATGTCTTGATAGGTAGGTACTTATTAATCTCTTAGGGGAAATTCGAGTGTCCAGCAGCTCAAAAGTAGTAATAATTAATAACATTTTCAACATAACAATCAACAATTACCCAACCAGGTAAAACTCCTGAATTCCTGAGTGAAAACAAATGACAATCCAACACTGGAAATGAAAGGGCGCGCTATCAGCTAGCTAATTAGCTAATCTAACTTTGGGCTAAAGTGAGAAACTAGCTAACATTAGTTAGCTTAACTGTAACTTAAGGCTAAAGTGAGAAACTAGCTAATTAATGTTAGCTAAACTGTAACTTAATGCTAAAGGTACAACTAGCGAACATTAGTTAGCTAAACTGTAATTTAAGGCTATAGTGAGAAACTAGCTAACATTAGCACTCATCCACATATACTTGACACAATCTAATTCATAAACTCAAGAGGTAAGAAAGTATAATGTATTACACACGCTAAATAGTTAGTTAGTAGATAGTAAATAGTTACATAAATGTACCCACAATGTCTCAGTTTGCTTGTGTGATGCACAATATTCGAACTTATTCACTGATTATATGAATATTTGTTTCGTTTTGTAATTGCTTTTTTAATGGTTTCCCTGTTTGAGTTTTGGGGCTACTTTATTAGGAACACCTGTACTCCTGCTCATTAATGCAGTTATTCAGCTAATCATGTAGCAGAGGCTCATAAAATCATGCAGATACAGGCCATTTTCTTCAGTTAATGCTCGGATGAAACATCAGAAAGGGGGGGAAATGTGAGCTTGGTGACCTTGAACATGGCATGATTGTTGGTGCCAGTCAGGCTGGTTTGAGTTGTTTGATTATGTGATGCAATGCTACCTGTTAGTGTTTTTTTAGGTCAGGGTGTTCTGAGTGTTGTAGTTGTATTGGTGCATTTTGGATGTGAGATTAACTTGTCCCGAGCTAGATGTCGATAGTGAGAACTGTGTTTGAAAGAATGAACTCAGTATCGAGCCAAAAGTGTGTTTTCAACTGAAAAAAATGTAATACAATTACAGTTTTGGAGGAAGATTGAACAAGCTCTGAAGAATGTATCGACATAGACTTGAAATTTGACCCTAAGTTTTTCCTACTAGGTTTACACCATGATAAACATGATACACCTTGGAAAGATATTGCTGTCTAGTATCTTCGTATTCGCTTGCAATACGAGCTTTATCACTCTCTTGGAAGAAAACCAAGAGAGTGGTTGTTGATGCCAGACGGGCAGACAGGAACACCTTGACTACCGTAACTGAGATAACCACTCTTTATAACTGTTTGAGCAGTTATAAAGTCTGAATCCAGTAGAACACCTTTGGGATGTAAGAGAACAGGAGATTGGCAGCATGAATGTGCAGCTGACAGATCTGCAGAAAGGATGTGATGTGTTCATGTCAACATGGAGCAGAAACCCAGTACTAGTGTGGTGTTCCTGATAGTGTTCAAGTGTGCCGAACGTGAACTGATGCCGCTGTTTAGTGACAGTAAATACAAGACACACAAAAAGAGCATCACCAGAATTGATGAATCAGTTATTATTATTATCATTATTATTATTATTATTATTATTGATCCCACAGCGAACGTTGAAAGATTAAAAAGAAAACATTTCTACATTCTGTTGGTTCTTGTCGTCCGTTTAGTCCTTTGCGCGCTTCGCAACAGTCAGACATCCAAACAGGTTTCAAGTCCTCAAATGTCAGAAAATTCACTGGGTTTCCCCCTTTAAAGCTTTTCTACAAAAATATGACGAGTGACGACCGACGTCATTGTCATCGTCCAATCAATAAATCAACAAAAATACAATCAGGATATGTTTACATACATTTTATATATAGATTTAGGTCTCTCTCAGGAATAGAAGCATTAATATATACACACATATCTGCTGTGAGGCTTGGGTTCAATCAATCAATCAATCAATCAATCAATCAAATATCAAAAGCTCTCAGACTTATCTCGTCAGCAATATAAACACTTGAATTAGCTGCAGGAGATCCCAAAATACACAGAAAAGTTTCTCCGAGAACAGACCAGGACCAGTTGACCAGAAACTGGACTACATTTCCCAGCATGCAGCTGATCTCTGCCAGGCAGCTTCCCAGCAGGGCCGTAGCCAGGATTTGAGAAACACTGAGGTCATGAGCCTGAATCTCCACAGTAAAACCCCACACACTTAAGAAATGAGCCACTAACCAAACTGTTAAGTTTTTTTTGAGTATTTTACAAAAACGTGACAAAATTTCACATTTGATTTATTTGTTTAACTGTTGCATTTCTCTACATTCAGGTGTGTAATTCTGGTGGAAAATATTTTTATTTGGCCTTTTGGTTTTCTGCCTAAAAAGTCAAATTATTTCAAGAGTTTTGGTCTAAAAACACCAAAAACTGTCTTAAAATATGTGGAATGTGTTGATTATCCATTTGTCATTTAAGGCAATTTAAGTATAAATTCTAAAAAATTCCTGCTTGTATCTTCAAATGGAAATGTTTTCTAGTCTATGATTGTAAACTGAGTATCTTAAAGTTTCAGACTATAGATCAGACTAAACAAAACGACACCTTGGGCTTTCTGGGAGTTGTCATGTTTTACTGATTTCTGATATTTTATAGATCAGATGTTTAGAGGATTAATTGAAAAAACAACGGTCACATAAATTATTGATATTCATGAGTCTGCAGATTCTCCAAAACATTAACCAAGGACATGACCTCAGTCCGTAACGCTAGCTACAGCCCTGCATGTTCAGACAGCTCTCAATATGAAGTTGACTCTCCACAGGCAACTTTTAGAGGCAACACGTCTCTGCACTGAAGAACTGAAGTTAATCGGTTTAGGGGGAGATTACGTGACTGACGTATCAGCCTACGTCATTTATTACAACCAATGAAGCTGCTTCTATCTAATCCACAAAAAAAGAAGACGACGTTCATTTCCTAATAAACTCCCTCGCACATCCAGAGAAAGTCACGAGTGGGAACAACACCAGACCTAAATGATCATTAAAAATATCACGTGAAAAAAAAGAACAATTTATGAGAATTACATCTAAATAAATGACCAGATCTAAATATTTCACCAACTTGGGTCAGGATCCAAAATAGAACCAGCTATCGGAGCCCAGCCAAACTCTGTAGATGAATATGGTTTAATGTGACGTTAAAAGTCTCATTCAAAGGAAGTAAATGTTCTGAGACAGTCAAACAAAACAAAACTCTAGCAGTGTTTTTTATTAAACATGTTAGATCCTGTATGAATAGGGACAGAAAGACACTGAAGTTCTTTTAATGTGAAGTTTTTAAACAGTAAATTTCACAGATTTTTGCCATTTGAAAAGAGTAAAGCTGAGACCTGCAAGTATTAATTATTAGTAGTAAGTATTAAGTTACAACCTTCTAATGCAAGAAGACTTACATCATCTGCCTGATGTCCTTAAATCAGCACACTCATAAATTTATCATTAACATTATTGTCATTAAAAGTAAATGTATTATTCATTTTTCTGTGATAACATACTTGATATGTGAAGACTAATACTAGATTTTTCTGGGTGTTTCTGTAACAAGAACCAGTTTAATCAATTTTTATCATAAACACAAACATTTTGACAAGGAGACCTTAAATTTAGTTATTAAAGAATTGTGACATTTTACAGTGTAAAGATAATTACATTTTGTCATTGCTCTCTGATGGACAATCCATGTACTGGAGACATTGTTTTGAAATTGAAACATAAGGCATTTCTTATCATTTACACACAGATACCAATATATTTGCAATAAACAAATATCAGCTGATTCATTGATTGTGGTTCTAGTGTTATTATTCCTACTAGTGACTTTCAGCAGTTGACAGAAGTCAGACATCATTTAATGCAACTTTAAGGTCCTAAATATTCCCAGAGTGACACTGATGTGAGCAAAACTAATGTGATGTAATAATTACAGGGCTGCAACTCACAATTATTTTCATTCATGTTTTTGTCTATAAAATATGAGAAAATAGTGAGAAGTGCCTGTGAACTCTCCCTACAGCCCGAGTGACGTCTTCAGATGTCTTTGATCAACCGTCCAAAACCCAAAACATACCATCATGTGACACAGAAAACAATCAAACCCTGAAACCAGAGAATATTTAGAAAATGACTCAAACGATTGTCCAAATAGTTTCCTATAGATCAACTAATTGTTTCAGTTCTGAATGATTATACTAGTAGTTTTTTTTGGGTTGTTATACCCGTGAACATATCAGCCAATAAGTGACAACAAATGCCAAAAGTATTTACGTGGTGATTCAGAAACAGTGTCTCCATTACAGTGTGTCCACTCAGTACATATCCTGGTCACAATTCTTAATTACTAAATTTAATATCATAAATTGTATCATCAATAATTGTTTGTTAAAAAGGGAATATTGCCTGTTCAGCCTTAAAACTCTTGTGTGGTTCAGACTTTAGTTGTTACATTAACTGACATCTAAAGTTTATTTCCTGTGGTAGAAGGTTCAGTCAAGTCCTTCAACATGTCGGTGTGTCCCCTGTAACTGCTGATAACCAGCTTCAATCATCACAGACTTTTCATAGTGCACTTTATTCTCAATGCACTTCTCCTAAAACATCAGCGTTGCCTCTAAAAGCTGCAAATAAATCAGAGCCTCCTCCTCCTTCTTATTATTTTTCCTCATGTTAACCAGATAAGTATTTACACAGTAAACCAGACATTTGCCCACAGTAACATTTTTAATCCTTTTCCACAAACAGTGGCACCATTTGGCGTCCCAGGAGCGGAAACCGTTGCCCTCAAAAGGTGAGGAAATCAAAATGTTGACTCATCATATATTCAAACTTTTGTACGGGTCAAAGAAAGAGAGTGACGTCTGACAACGTGCTGTTAAGTGAAACATCCAACCTCCACACGTGTTCCCAGAGCTTCTTTTGTTCTAACATATTTACAGTCTACAGACACAGTTGAGTCAGGAGCGTTGGGTTCGATTTGTGACGACCGGGACCGAACGCAACGATCTGTGGCGACTGACCTGTACCTCACTGTTCAGACACTCTGGACCAACACTGGCTCAAAGCCGGCAAATTAAAACCTCCACACACCATGGTTCAACCACGTGACGCAGTGGAGCTACTGGACTTATTTCTAAACCCCGCCCCTCTGGGAGTTCTAGGCAAAAGGCAAATCAAATGCACCCGGGACTGAAGAGGATCTGAGACACTAACAGCTTCCTGTCTGGCTAATCAACAAGCCACATAACGATCATCTGCCCAGGAAGTGAGCACTAACTAAAACGATCAACAGCTCTATTGGTAAGACTGGGAGAAACAAAAACTTTATGCACAATCAAAATGCAAACAAGAAGAAAAAGGCAAAAGACGGTCGCTGTAGCAACAGGAAATGACAAGTCTCAAAAGTTTTTAAAACAGAAATCTAAACAGCCAAAAAGGAAGCAGAACTTTTAGAAAATAAAACAGGACACACATCGACTTCCAGCGATTGATCAGTGTGTTCGTGACGTCCTTGTGTTTGGTTTTGCTCTGTGCCGTCTGTGCTGTGCCGACACACTCTGGTGCTGATCCCATTAAACTAAACAGTTAACCAGCAGTGAGGCAAAACAATCGATCGTTCAGCCTCATTTGTGATTGGGTGGAGGGGGCAGGAGAGGGGCGGAGCGGTCGTCGGTGATGGTCCTTTTGAGCTTTACTCCTCTGATGAGGGTCAGCATGTTACCTCCTCCTTCCTCCTGGGTCAGCTGCTCTGCCGCCTGGTCTTGGCTGGAGGGTGGAGGAGCCTGGGGCTGGTAGAGAGTGCCGTGGCCCGGCCACGAGGGCTCTCCCTGGGCCACGGGGGGCGGGAGCTGGGCCTGCTGCTGCTGCTGCTGCTGCTGCTGCTGCTGCTGCTGCTGGAACAGCTTCTGTTTCTGCTGCTGGTTCAGCAGCAGCTGATACTGGTCCTGCTGCTGATACTGGTCTGGTCGATGTTGCAGTTGCTGGGGTTGCTGAAGCAGGGACTGCTGATGTTGAAACTGTTGCTGTAGTTGCTGCTGCTGCTGATAATATTGCTGCTGCTGCTGCTGCTGCTGCTGCTGCTGAATCTGGAGTTGCTGGTTGTGCTGCTGTAGTTGCTGCTGGTACTGTCTCTGTTGTTGATGTTTGGCGTTGCTGCCCTCTGGTGGCAGGGAGGGTACAGTAGGTACAGGCACTGGGATGGGCATCTGACCTGGGACCAGCTGGTAGTACGGGGAGGAGGAGGGGGGTAAGGCGCTGAGGCTCTGCGTGGAGGTGCAGAGTTTACTGTGACCTAGACCTCCTACTCCTCCAGCAGGGGGCGCTGTGAAAACATTCTCATCACTTCCACCGTTTCCTCCGAGGGCTTTAAGCGGGACCTGGGGGGTGCAGATGGGGATGGGAACCCCCCCGCTGATTGTTCCCCTGCGATACGCCGGCTTGGACGACGGTTTGCGTCTGATGGTTGCCGTGTGGGACGGCAGCTGGCGGACAGACCCGCCGATCAACTCGGGCTCGGCCAATAGGCTGACGGTGGAGGAGGGGCGTTTGGACTGAGCAAACTTCCTGTACTGTAAACTGAGGTCGGAGTTCCTCGGGATGGTCGAGGACTTGTCAAAGTCTGACTGGCTGTTTCCGTGGGACATGTGATGTAGGGAGATGGAGTCTGCGTCTCCGTGGAGAGAGATGGACTCGTAGTCAACTAGAGAGAGAGAGAGAGACAGAGACAGAGAGAGAGAGAGAGAGACAGAGAGAGAGAGACAGAGAGAGAGAGAGACAGAGAGAGAGAGAACATCAGTGTTTTCATCTCATCTGACAGACGACAGCAGCAGGAACATATAATTACACAAGTGACTTACAGTGTGTAACATGCAACACACACACACACACACACACACACACACACACACACACACACACACACACACACACACTTAAAGGGTATGACAAAAAGTGCAACATCAAACGTCGGTGTGTCTGTAGTTGTGAGGACACTCACACTAACCTGAACCTGATTCTAAAGATAATTTGTGAAGGAAGACGCTCCACTCTGTAACACCACTGTACAACCAGAGTGGAGCGTTTCAGTTGTTCCCATAGCAACAGTCTCCAGCTGTTATTTCAATGTGTCAGATACATATTTAATTAGTATTCAATAAGGCTGAATGATATGAAAAAAAAACAGACAGTTAATGTGATATGAGTCACAATCGAGGAATGATAACTTTTTCATTTCAGCAAACGAGCGTTTTCCCTTCAGCCTGCACAGTATGATTTATAGGCCTGGGCGTCTCTGTGGAACCAACATTTATTTATATTACATCTATAAAAATATGTTGTGACACATTTCACCTTTAGCTCTTGGGACTCGAATATTGCACTTGGCCATATTGTGATTTCGATAATATTTCAATTAGTATTTAAGTAAATATAAGTATGGGATTGGACACACTTGATCGGAACATCCCTACAGATCAAGCTGCTGCTCAAAACTTCTGTCTCAGCCAAAAACAGTTCTGAAATTATCTGTGGACAGCTGAACCTAAACAGATTCAACAGACGAGGGCGGTGTTGGATGCAGATGTGAGGACGTGCAGCTTGGAGATAAACAGGCAGGAAGGCAGACAGACAGATACACAGACAGACAGGTAGTCAGAGACCTACCATAGAGGGGAGGGTCTCTCTTTACAGCTGGAAGAGAAGGAAGGAAGTTTAACCAAGAAAACACAAACACTACAGCAGAGAACCAGAGAGGAACTAGTACACCGAAGAAATACAGAGGAAACTAGTAAACAACTTAGATGACAGAGTCAGTTTCATCCAAACAAAAACAGGAAATATAAATACAACACACAACAGAGGACAGCTGAGAGGTTCAGTCAGACAGACGGTCGACCTTCAGTGAAAGTGTGTCCATCATACAATAAATCAATTTGTGTTTGTTGTAGCTCATGATCAGAAGCTCATTCACATTTCCTACGTTTTTGTCTCCGATTGGTGGATGCAGGAAGACGTGGAAAATCAGTTTGTGGAAACATAACACATTGGGTGTGTGTGTGTACTTACTGTGTGTGTGTATGGTGTCTTCAGAGCAGGACGGGGTGGTGGTCTGAGTGCTGTAGCCGCTGGAGCAGTGCAGAGAGTCTCTACTGCTTCTCGGGGCGTCCGAATTCAATGCACCTAAAGTCAACGCCAGCTGGTCCCGGGCCGAGCAAGACTGAGAGAACGAGAGAGTAAAAAAAAACAAAAACAAAACAAGTTTAATTTACACTTTTTCACTAATATGACAGATGTTTATATAAAGTTTAAAGAAGAGGTAGGAAGAGAGGAAATAAGGAGAGGAAAGGAAACTGGGACAGAAGAGGATGGGGAGACGAGAGGACACAAGGAAAGGAGACAAGAGGAGAGAAAATGAGGAGCGGAGACTAGGTGAGAGGAAACAAACAGGGGACAGGACACAAGTGGAGGAAAGGAGACAAGGGGAAAGGAGATGAGATGAGAGGTTTTCTCCTCCACTGGCTGATGGGAATCCGCTGTATAAACTTTCAGGTGTTTAATAAACTTATAATTTTGTTATTTCTCATTTTAAAGAAAAGGATAAAAACAGACATCAAGCAGCAGACTCCTTTTGTTTGAACAATTAACAAACCATAAAGAAGATTTTTGTAATTTCCTGTTTAAATCCTCACAGTGATAACACCACTGCAGTGTGTGTGTGTGTGTGTGTGTGTGTGTGTGTGTGTGTGTGTGTGTGTGTTACCTTCCCAGACGCAGACATGGCCCGAGCTCTCTCTCCATGGTGTGTGTAGGCGTTGTGTGGAGGGACCAACAGGCCGTTCTCCGCCCCTCCGCCGCCCCCGGCTGCCATCTGATTGGTGGAGCCAACTGCATCCTGTCGTAAACAAACCAGTGAGTGGATGAATCAACATGAAGTGTAAATGTAAACAACAGTGTCGTGACCAGCGTACACAGAGTATAATCCCATGGAGCCAACAGAGAAGTCCCTCATCACACACCAATTATAAGACTGTGTTTCTGTACAGCACCTCTGACAGCAGGTACAGAAGTCGCCCGGCTAATTATACTTTATCAAATAAAGCCACTAATATTTATTTAATCAAAAAATATTTTTTGTGTATGTATTTTCTCCCAAATGATGAGTCTTGACAAACATTCAGTATTCACAGTGTTAAGCAGGACTTCTATTTTGGCTGCTGGTCTGTGAACATCAACACAACAGGTTTATAATTCAGTTTGACTCTCTGGTGTTTAAAAGTGAAGGATTTTAAATTGTAGTTTAAATAATTTCCATTTATGAATTTGTAGAAAATTTAAGTCTCTTGAGGGAAAAAGCTCAGTTAGCTTGTTAGCTTAGCCTTGCTCATTGAAACCAAGAGTCCTTGCTAAACACAAACTCTCTTTTTGTACCGTACATGTTTTTATTCTAATGGAGAAACCTCAGCAGGTGTTTAATAGAAACTGCAGGACAGAATATGAGCTGATTTCCCCAAAGTGACCACTGCTGATGACAAATAACCAACGGTAACTGAAGAGTTTGGATCCAAAATGAAGTTGAACTTTCAAAACAGCTGAAAAATAGTGTCTTTGTTGGGGACTATTTTCAGCGGCGGATTGATCTACATTTGGTGCTCTAGTGAGTATTTCAGGGCAGCAGGATGGTGCATGTGTGACTGAGTCAAAGTAAACTACAGTGTGTGTTCATGGTGATGAAGGAACAAGTCTCCCAGTGCAACAGTGCGGCTCGTTCATGTGTTTTTTAATAGATTCTGACAAAAATAGAGTCTATGGAGCAGAAGAATTCGATGCATCTGTCTTTGGATACACAGACAGTATTTGTTACTGGGATTTTCCTGGGATTTGTTGACAACAACATAAAAACAGGATATTGTCCAAATTATCATTGACAATCATTGATAACACAATATTCATATCATGTGATAAACTTGACTTTACTTGGATTTTGTATATTTCTCCTGCAGCACTTTGTAAATAAACTCTTCAGACACAAACTTGGTTCATTTATATCATCAGTTCACAGGCGAAGAAAGAAAACGGTCTGTAATCACACGACCACTGACAAGACACCACTGACACAAATATCAACACCAGTGTAAAGGGGCATTACACCACATTTCCATGTCTTAACAGGAAAGAGATGTGAGCAGGGATCTGACAGTGGGGCCGAGGCCGGTTCAGGCGGTGCGCAGGGGGAGATGATGTGATCAGGTGCGGACAGTTGGATGTGCAGTGGGGAGGTACAACATATTGATACAACAGATCGATTGAGATCCATTGAATGAGACTTTCACCTGCTGTTTTACATGTTGCAGCTGTTTCAACACCTTCTTTTGTCAAAAGAAAAAAAAAAAATATAGAGCTGAAATGATTAGTCAATTAAGTGAGAAATCAATCAGAAACGACTACAATGATTGATTAATTTGCTTTAATATTTAATCCAAACAATCTCTAGTTTCAGCTTTTCAAATGTGAGAATCTGCTGTTGTTTTATTTGATTATAAAGTGAATTATCTTCGAGTTTGCGACAGTTGATCAGACAAAACGAGCAAATGTACGATAAAACTTTGGACTGTGCGAAATGTAATCAGTGGTTTATGGTTAAGTGGGAGTAAGTAAGGAAGTAGTAAGTAAGGAGGGGGAGACTCATTGCTCACTTAAAAAAAAGGCTACTCACAGCTTGAAATAAGAGAAATCAATCATTAATTAATCATTAACAATCTCTAAAATGATTCTAAAGGAGTCAGTAAAGTGTCATTTAGAGGCTACAGATACAGACAGACACAAAAACACATTAAAAGACGGAACTGATAAGTAAAAAAAAAACAAAAAACAAACAAACACCATAAACACACGTGGACAAACACTGACACAACACCGATCACTGTACAAGGGAACACACACAAACGTTTTATGGAACGAGTATGAAAATGAAAACAGAGATCTGAAGTGAAACTGGAGCTGGATTAGAGAGATGTGTGGTTCAACCGGAGACATTTGGAGTGGACGAAATGAAAGGTGTCATCGGAGGGAGAGGGAATAAAATCTGTGCAAGTGTGAGCTGATGAGAAAACACGAGGAGTAAAACTGATGAGGCGGAGACAGACTGAGACCGATGGAAGACAAACAACTACAGCACGGTCGGGTTGGGAGGAATGGAACAGTTTTATTCTCACGGTGGTCATATCCCTGCGGCTAACGCGGCGGCTCAGCGCGGGGCGGTGGCCGTGGCCAGCGGCGTAACCATAGCGACCACGGCTGCCCTGATGACCGAGGCGAGAGGGGGAGTTCCCTTCGCTGAGGGACCGCCCACTTTCATCACAGCCAATCAGCAGATAGGGGGAGGAGCAGCGCTACACACAGGAGAGGATTAGAGCTGCGTGTGTGTGTGTGTGTGTGTGTGTGTGTGTGTGTGTTGTACTTCAGGGTGAAAAGGTTTTTATTTTTTAGGTCCTTCATGCTAACACTCATTTAGACGGGGTTGTGGGAGTGTTTTGAGTGGCATGTATCGTACTGTTGAAACAACCAATGAACATGTTAAAGGTCAAAAGAACTCAGATATTTTTGAGGACAAAATCATTTTGAGATACTAACGGCAACAACTGTTTTCAAAAACTGTACAGAATGAAACTGTTTAGGCAAAGCAATCTGTCTGTGTGTGTGTGTGTGTGTGTGTGTGTGTGTGTGTGTGTGTGTGTGTGTGTGTGTGTGTGTGTGTTACCTGGATGTGTACTCCATCCACAGCACAGCTGATGGAGTCCAAGGAGGGAACATGTCTCACTGATCCAGACTGATAGTTACTATGAGAAAACACAAACACTACAGTTAAGGATCGATAGTAGAACTGCAACAAAAAATGATTCAGAAACTATTTTGATAATCAATTCATCATTTAAGAAATTTTTCATTTCACAAGTTTGCTTGTTGCATCTTTTCTAATTTGAGGATTTTCTGCTTTTCTGTTTTATATCTTTGTGAACTGAATATCTCTGGATTTTAGACTTTAAAATTTAATAGACTAAACAAAAACAAGAAAATAATCAGCAGATTAATCAATAATGAAAGTAATCATTAGTTGTTGCCCTAATTGATAGCAATAAAAAGGTGGTGTGCTAGGCAGATGAAAATACAGCAAAAAACCTGTCAAAATAAACATGGCTGTTAAAGTTTTATACAATAAACAACAATATACACATTACACTCGATCAATATAAAGTTTGATTTGATACAGAGAAGTCAGACTGATACTATTAGAAATACTTTTATCACAAGTACAGTATGTAAACCAATGACAGCTGTGGTATATGTGTGTGTTTGTGTGTGTGTTACCTGCTGATGCTGCTCTTCCTGGACAGAGTGCTACTTGGAGAAGCTGGAGGTGTCTGATAGGTGTAGCTGAAATCAGAACCTTTCAGGTCCGAAATCACCTGAGAAACAACAGTAACACACAAACAACAACTCTGGTGACTCTGTGTTTTTGGTCGGACCGCTTCAAGGATAAGACCGGTTTTATTCTCTCAAACTGTCACTCATGAAAAGACCAAAAACAACGTCACACAACAACAACCATCTCTCAGTCCCTCCTGTTTCTGAGGCCATCAGTCCCAAGCCCATTGATCCCAACTGAAGAAATACAATTAATAGTTTTAACAGTGTAGCTCCACGGCCCAGAGGAAGAAGATATATATCAGGCTTTGGATACACAGACAATACTTTTTGTTTATTTTAAGTTTTTAGGATCAGTTCATTCTTGGTTTTGGCCTGAGGACGGTGCTAGCAGGAAGGTCAGAGGTCACCAAAAACATCAGGAGGAAGAGGAGGGTACCTGCTCGCTGGCTGGTGGGAGTTTATTGGGCTCAGCTGTCAGGTTCATCAGATCCTCCAGAATGGTCTGCAGGTGGGTCACCTCACCCAGCATGTTGATCTCATGGTCCTGCAAACACAAACACACACATTGATGATTAGTGTTGTTATTGTTGTGTAATAGGGTTTAAAAGCCGCCTCAGTCCCGTGACGGTGGATTTGGATTTGTGTGTACTGACCAGTACAGGCTTCAGCATGGTGACGAAGCTGCAGTAGCGCGCTCTTTCCTCTATCAGCGCCCTGCACACGGCTCGCTTCTCGGTGTCCTCCAGGACAGCGTAACGCACGTTGACGTCCTGCAGTGCGCTGTCCAGCTGGCCACGCACCTCGTCCTTCCCTACGGAAACACACGCAGGAGGAACTGATGTCAGGAAACACGACAACGTCAGGCTGAAGCGGATACAGACACTTATCCTGTACCTGAAAGGTCCAGGTAAGAACTGAGCTCATGTTCACTAAAATCCCCTGTTCCTGTTCAGACTGTACAGTTCCTATGACGACACAGGTAGGACAGTCACCTCAGCCTCCAACTGCCTCATCTTAATCTACCTTGTTAACTATAAATAATAATAAAAATATGACATAATTCCACTAGACAGATTAAAATTATCGCCACCGGTGCAATGTCAAAAAGTAAAACTACATGACTTTGCAGATGGCTTTTAATTTGAAACAATGGATACAGGAAGTGACAGAGAAAGGCAGATTTAACTAGTGATCATTAAATTAGATCGATTTTTTAATATTCACTTGTTGGGATTTATGATTTATTTTTACTTTTAACCAGAAAAGTGTCAAACTAAATCTGTTCCTTTCAACATATTATATGATAATAATATATATTTTTGAAATTGGGAGAAACTGTTTCATTACATTCGTCATCACTGTAGAAATGTGACTTTCATGCAGGTTTCACAGATGGTACAAGTGGAGATCACAACATAATAAGTACTTATTATTATAAGTAACTAATTATTATAACATGTTGTCATGGTAATGATTATAGGTGGGAATCCTCATTGAACTACAATATGATTCTCTGTTGTGAGACTTGCAGCGAAGATAAATCAACGCTAAACCAAACGGGCAAAAAATAGACATAACTTAGAAAATTATTAAAAATATTAAATAATATCTAATAAATATATAATAAAATATTAAAAAATAAAAATTAAAGCCCTTTATATCCTGACACACTGTTACTATTAAATCTCAGAGACAGTGATAACAGACTCAGGCTGTAATACTCAGATGTTACCAGCAGGGGTCAGAAAAACACTATACAGCTCATGTAATCACACACACACCGACACACACACCGACACACACACCGACACACCGACACACACACACACACACACACACACACACANCAGACTCAGGCTGTAATACACAGATGTTACCAGCAGGGGTCAGAACAACACTATACAGCTCATGTAATAACTAAAACACACACACACACACACACACACACACACACACACACACCAGCTGTTTGTCACACACATGCTGTCTGACCTTGTTCTTCAGTTTGAGTATTTAACTAACCGTCTGAAAGTGTTGGTTTCTGTATTTACATTCATTTCACTGACCACCTCATCTATTGATTTAATGACACATCCACAGCATATTTTTAGCTCATTCATAATTTCATGCCAGTAAAGCATAAACAAAGCAGACTGAGAGAAATAGTGACGCAGAGATGAGACAGCTTTCTCTCTCTGGTGTGATTTACTTCCTCGTTTACTGGACGATCCGGTGCTGAAACCCTGAAACCCTCCAGTCTGTCTACGATGGAAGAGGTTTTTGTGGCTGCTTCATTTCAAATTTCAAATTTAACACAACACTCATCACTTAGACACAAAAACTGTCCAGTTACATGTTGGAGGGTTTAATCCGCAGACCGGAAGGATAAATCTGAGCGAGCAATCGTGACCACTGCTGAGATGCCCCTGAGCAAGACCCTGAACCTGTAACTGCTCCGGTGGAGCCGCTCAGAGGCCAACAGATCTGACTGGTTGTACTTGGCAGCTTGTGTGTTACTGTGTGAGTGTGAACAGGATGTTCCTTCAAAAAGAGAGAATTTCTCTGCAGCTAAATAAAGATTTTGTAGAAAAAAAAAAACTGACACCACGAACATGTATCTGATATTTCTGTGCCAATATTATATATCATCATGAAGATGCCCTCCAGTTAACGTTGTAAGACATAAAATAATATTCTTTCTGATTCGGTTTTCTTCAAAAACGTTCAGTTACCTTGTTACAAAATTATTAAATTTATATCTAATCTTTCTCCCTTGTTGAAAAATCCTGATTCTTTGCAAATATTGTTCTTTTCAAAAGTTTAATTGCTGGACACAAGATGTCTCCTGCTTCACTGAAAAAATCCACTGGAGGCTTCAAGTTTCCACATCACACTTGTTTCAGCTGCATATTGGACAATGACTGGCTTCAACACTAGTGATGTCACTAAATCCTGCTGAGATTTAACTTGAGCACAAAGAAACTTTTCCCCCTCAGCAGACGAATGTGAAAACAGTCGTCTGGTATCAAGCGTCGTTCTGCAAAGTGAAGCATCCAACAAGAAGCAATATGCATTTTTGAGAGAAGGGGGGCTATAGTTTTAAAATCTCAACATTTTGACTCATAATGACAATAATTTAGGATTTCTTTCAGAATCTGACTGACTGTTGAAATGAAAAATAACATGATCAATTTTTTTTTTTTTTTTTTACAATTTACCATGAATATTGTGATTAATATATATTTCAATAAGTGAGTTTGTCTTTGCTTGTTGTGTGTGTGTATGTGTGTGTGTGTTATATATACATGTGTATGTGTATACATGTGTATATAAAGGTGCTCTTTGGAGTCAAGGACCACGATGAATGCAAAGAAGAGGAGAAAATCCAAGGCAATCTGAGAGTCGAGGTATAATGATCAAAAGCTTTTACCATATTACAGGGCATTACGTTACATTGTGCTGCTTTAGTTATGATGGCTTCCAGCTGAAGCGCGCTGGTGTCAGCTGTGTAATGATAAAGGCTTTGATGTGCCTTGGATTTCTTCTTCTTCTTTGCATATTATATCATCAGTCTGCTCATCTCACTCTCGGGTGTTTTACTGCAGCCTGTGTATGTACACTGTCCACACAGTACAACATCACTAGGTGCATTTGTAGCAATGATAAAAATAATATTTAACACTCATGTTGATACAATACTGTCATGCAAGATGTCGCCTCACTACCCACTTTAAACTCTCCTGAAACACTAAAACTCTCATTTTAAAGCTACTACTGCCAATGAGAGTGTAAGGCCACACTGCTGGAGGCTCTGACGGACTGTATTAAATTTCAAATGCTAACATTACTGTGGCAACACGCTTACAATAGCAGTGCTAATATGCTTGGCAGGTATCTTGTTTACCATCTTAGTTTGATGTGTCAGCGTGTGAACATTTTCTAGTTAGCCCTGAACAGAACGTTTGGTAATAAACCAAAAACAATGGACATACTGAAAATTCGACCTGATGATGGCACTAGAGAGTTAAAAGTTACAGGATCAGCGAAGTCGATAAGTTCATCCTAAAGGGCACATGAATGTCTGCACCAAGTTTCATGGCAATCCATCCAACAGCTGTTGAGACATTTCAGACGGATATTTCAGTCTGAATCAAAACTTTAGGCGATTTTAGCCACACTGACAAACTGACATCGCCATCCAGACACAGATGCCACAAGCATTGCTACTGAAATACAGATTTGTCTGGGAAGCAAATATTCTTCAACCTCTCTGCCTCACTTCATCATATTAGAAAAGTAAAATGCAACAACTTGAATACCATGTAGTATTTAAAGTTAAATCAATCAGACTCTGAAGGTCATGTTTTCAAACCATGTGGGGAGACGCCGACAGAGCCGAGCTGTAACTGTGCGGTCGAGCCTGAGCCTGGTGGGTTCGACCCGGCAGGTAGAGAAGACAGACGGAGCTCTGACCTGCAGACCACCCAGCTGTGGAAACACACCCACTCAGTGTAAAAATAAGTCCAGAGGTGGTGGAGGGAGTCTAACTTTTCGCCAACATAGAGGAGTTTAAGAACAATGCACAGACCTGCACATGTAAAACTTTATAAAATGATCATGTTTAGAAATCTGCTCCCTACTGATCTGGTCCAACAATAAGATGCTGCTTTTATGTTGATGCATCGGTAAGAATCATCAAACAATATAATGCTGATACTTTAATGACATTTTGCTTTTAATTCTTTTCTTTTACTAGTAAGATGAATATGCAGGACTTCTGCTTGTAAGAGATGTAATTAAACTGCAGTATTGTTTCTTTTAATATCTAATATCCGAAATCACCGGAAAAATCTCATGACCTGATCTCCAGCGTCATCTGTTCAGAAAGTTTCAGTCAAATTGTTCTCAACAAATTTTGAGATATTTTTCCAGCCAACATGATACAAACAAATCCTCTTTTCTAAAATCACAGGAGAGACAGGGGCAGAAAAACAGAGACGCAGACAGTAAATCCTGTTGAAAACAGTAAGCAGCAGTTTCCACAGCCCAACACACACACTGCAGACTTTGTGTCATAAAGCTCAACCTAAACACAGCCTGTTCACTCAGGTGTGTGAGCGAGAGCATGGGGAGGACAGAGAATCATTTCCACATCGCTAACAGAAGCTCAGTGTCGGTGTGCTGTTGGTCCGTCTGACGTCTGGCCTCTGTGGAAACACACAGACAAGCCGTGTGCTGTCAGACTCCAAAAACACACGAAAACACAAAATCCCTGAAGTCAGAAGCTCCGTCTACTCAGTCACTCTGTTAAAGGTGAGACACAGTTCAGACGAAGCTAATTCTCACCAGCTGGGAAATGTTCTGTAATAACACATCGTGTTTGTTTCCAAACAGGATCTCCAGCTTTTGACGTTATTAAATGGAAGTTACCTGAATGATCACTCTCTGACTTGGAGAAACCGATCATGAATTTTTCTCAAAGCTGTTGTGGCTTTAAAAAATACAGAAGTGACTAAAAATCCAAAATGCCTCATGTCAGCCAAAGTCTAAGTAACTTAATCCTAATTTAATTCTATTTAAGTCAGACACACTTAACCTGACAAGTCATTTACGAGAGGCATCTTTCCCATCGCTGTGGCTCCTGACTACACTTCCCAGAGAACATTTTCCCTTTCAACCCTGGCAGCTCATGGCCCATGTTAATTAAACATCTTGTATTTATTCAAAATGGGAACGTTATTATATTGTACATTTTTCTTTTTGTCAACAAATCCCATAAAAAGATAATTGATCCCATTAACAAATACTGTC